TAGAATAAAATAGAATAAAATATACAATAAGAAAAAAATGGAATACAAATGCTTTATACAACTGAGTAAAAATACAACGATGCCAGAAAAGATTATTGCACATTAGTGTTATTGCACATTTGTGGATGTGTGTGTTTGATCAGTTAAAGTCTTTATTGTGGAGTCTGACAGCAGTGGGGAGGAAAGACCTGCGAAATCTCTCCGTTTGTATTTGTATTGTTTGTATTTAAATTACATCGTTTCTTTCCTCTGCGTACATCCTATAGGTATGAATTGCTTCATGTGTTGAACTTTGACCCAGTCAGAAGGCGAATGAGTGTAATCGTCAGATCAATATCAGGTGAGCTTAAGGTTACTGTCAACGTTATTGGAATGCTAATAAAATAGCGTTGGCCAGCACGTCCCTGATGCTGGGTGTCTGTATAATAGTGTGTTTTTCGTGCCCAGGTGAAACGCTGCTTTTTTGTAAGGGAGCCGACTCCTCCATCTTCCCCAGAGTCAAACAGGAGGAAGTTGAAACGATACGCATGCATGTGGAGCGTAATGCAACAGTACGTGGTGGAAAACATCTCGTTTTCCTAAATTTCTAACTGTTGGAATGATTTCATTGCTTAACATTTTGTCTTTTATAACATCAGCTGCTATTTTACTGTTTAGGATGGTTACCGGACACTGTGTGTGGCCTACAAACATCTTACCGCTGAGGAGTATGACCAGGTAGATTCAGGATTAAGGGAAGCTAGACTGGCTCTGCAGGACAGAGAGGAGAAGCTCATGGCTGTTTACAACCAAGTGGAGACTGGAATGAATCTAATTGGAGCTACTGCTGTTGAAGATCGGTGGGTGCTCACACAAAATGTATAACTGTGCTGCTCTTAATTGTGAAACTGCTGTGTTGAAACCCCAAATATGTTGATTCTGTTCATCTGGACGTAGTTTTCTGTGTTGAAACCTGCTGAATATCCTTAAATCTGCATACTTGTGCTGTTCTTGCTCCTTAATAAACATCAGTGCCAAAAAATTTGGATATTGAAATCCTCAGCACAGAGAAATCCCAGAATACACAATATTATTCATATGGAAACCAAAGGAATGCAAAAGCCTGTGATGAGCATATCACCAAGCCTTGTCTGGACTTGCTCTTTGTTATGTTGCTGCAATGAGTTAATTCCTCCCTTTGGGGATGTTTTAAATGTCATCAAC